TATTGACGAGAAGAGATCGGAGGATCCGCTTCTCTTCGGAGAAGAACGAGGAGCTCGATAAATTTTCGCGCTTCGGCGCGCGTTTCTTTCTCTGTACATCGTATCGGATGGGAAAACATCAGAATGCGACGGTACGATCAGACGGAAACGAGAAAAGTTTCTCCGAGAGAAACAGGGAGCACTCTCGGGGGAAACGTATAATTTCCAAGGGTAATCTCGAGGCATGCGTTCGATCAGAGACAATACTACGGTCGTGAACGTTATCACAACCGATCTTTTCTTCCTATTAAGGTACTCACGTCGACATACGAACGAATAATGAGAGAATAACGAAAGTTGCGAAACGGCACGGTACATATTCCTTACGGCCAATATCGTCGCGCAGCTGAACTCTCCCCGCTGCTCGAACGAAGAGCGTGGAAAGTTTCCGACAAACTCGATTATCATCGTATTATAATGAAACTGCAGAGACAATGAACGCCTGGATTCGCTCGTATACAAGTACGATTACAAGTACGATTTTGGAAAAAACGATGCCCGTTTCTCTTCTCATCGATTCAAGCGACAGATAGCTAGACATAGTTACACGAGAAGGAACCATCGCGCGAGAGAAGAAAATGCTGAAGCGATCTCAGCTTAACGTAAAAGTAGCAATAAAAATCCCGTATTTGTTTATGTCACATCGAAATGACATTCGCATACATACAATGCGCGTTTCGTAAAGTTTTAATTAACAATTGTTAAACGGCACGTCAATCAAATGAAGTCGAACTTCATTGACATCCCACTTCTGCTTCGACAATCGGTTCCCTCTTGCATAATTAATCCGCAATCGCCGTCGCGAGGAACGGATGGTCGGGATTAAATGTTTATCGATACTACGCGAAAGGCGAAGGTGCCGAACGCTCGTAAAAATACATAAATCGAAACGTCCGCTTGTACGCAAGAATCCAGCCGGAAAACGCGAGTTAAAATTAAGAGACTTCCTCGTCTTTCAGGCACCATTTAAACGGTCTTAGAGGTCTCATCGAAACGTCTAAAGACGCCTCACCGGCGTTCTTTACCTTTACACTTTTTAACTGATCACGATGGATCGAGGTAAGAAGATTTTAGACAATTAATTGACAAATCGATCCGTTAACTTTAATAAATAAATATTATTTGGATATCCTCTTTTCATTTTCAAGAATCTTTTAAGCGCCTTTACATGTCTTTAGATGTCTTTTGAGTTTTCGCGTCGTTTGAAGGCGAAAGTATACGGAATTTGTGAACATATAGGCGTGGTTAGCAATGTCGCTTTTTTTTTACGAAGTTTTTGATACTTGCGACTCAACGTACCGGTGCTCACACAGCAGAGAACGAGCAGACGCGCGGATTTCATCTCGCTTCACTTTCTCGCTTCACGTTATGAGCGTACGCCGCCATAGAACACTCATTGTTTTAAATTAAAATAGCAAATTTTAACAATAATTTACGAGTCGACTTGACGATAACAAAAGGCAGATTTAGCTACCTTTTCCGTATCTTTCTACATTCACGCGTGGTTCGTCGATAAATACTTATTCTATATTTCCTTAGACCATGCAACGTCGATTGGAATAGTTTACGATTTAATATCGTACTTAATATCGTAGTATAATATCGAGATGATGAGTGAATTTTGCGAATATAAGTCGCACGGTTTATTATTTTATAGCGCGAGCAGTAAAATCATGTTACACAAAGCTAGACGTATCAACGCTGATTTATAATATATTTAAACTTTAGAATGAGAATGTTCTACACGCTTTTGATTTTTTTTTCACTAGCAATGCTCTGCACATGCTGCAAAATTCGTGAATATATGTAAATATTCTTATCGACGTTACATCATGTAAGAGTATTATAAGGACGCAAAAGTACGTAACATTAGTTATGTTCAAGAAGAGTAAACACTTTTCACATTTACATTTTCATCACGAAATTAACTAAATGAAAAACAATAAAAAGATGTGCAACCTGTATGTTTCTTTGACAGCAATTTTGCTGCCTCAAAAAGAAAATTTTTATGAAGTTATACGGGAATAAAGTTCGGTAAAAGAGACGCGTGCACATTGTTACAATGACAACATTTTAAGCTAGTAGAAAATAACGAAAAAGTGTGTCATCACTTGAACAAACAATTTTCAGAGCAAAAAATTATAAATATCTTACTTTATTCGGACGACTACGCTCGTTATTACTAATCGCTCGATACCGCTCGCGTTCTGATAAATCGGCACAATTCTTGATATTAGTTATTACGCTCGTTGCTATGTAAAGGGCCCGTAAAATGGATTTTAGCGAAATTTCGAAAAATTATACCACTTCTACGTTATAACGACCTTCTGTTCCGAGTCATGCAAGATTTAGTCGCGATATTTTCTCGTGTTTATTGCTTTCTTGATTCGTTTTAAGGTACAATTTAAGTGTGTGACTGCCGTCAAGTTTTAACGGGACGCATTTGGCAGTCCTATGCTATATATATTGTAACATGGATTTCGTTTTCAACGAACGCAACTATCTCTTACTGTCTGTAAATTCGAAAGCGCTTACTGTTGTTTCCGATATCTTGTCGCAGAATAAAATCTGTTACGCTTAATATAATCAGAAAAGTTCAAGATTTTAGAATTTTAACGTGTGTAATATATACTTATATGCATTAACATTAATGAGGTTATTTATTTGTTTATATGACTATACCGAGAGATTAAAGAGATATCATTAAATAGTCTTTATCCTTAAATATTAATGAGCACGAGGTGAATAGATGTACATCTTAGAAAGTACAATTATAATAGAGACTTGTATTACCTATGTACATATATATACATATATATATGTATATATATATATATATATATATATATAATATTTATATATTTGCATCTGTATAACGCGCTCTTGTAAAAACGCAATGCTACTTTGCGTTACGACCGAACATAATAAAGACAGCAATCTCTCATTACGCCGCCGCATTCTGAACATTGCGTTGCCAGACCGGGTGCCTCGTTGGTAGCGCGCAGCGCAATGAAAGTGTTCTTCCTCCGAGGGGAACCAATCGCGAAACGCAGGACGAAAAGTGATCGCGCTACTCTATAAGAGATAAGTGAAAAGGAAGGGAAGAAGGGGAGGAGGTGCGATGAGAGAAACCCTTACGGAAAAGAAAGAAAAACAGAAAGGCGAACTCAATTAGAGCAAACCCAGCGAAGATGAGGTCCATCCTCTCGACAAATGGCCACGCGAGGAAGCGCCGGAAGTCACTCTCATCGTACACCGGGAAAAATCGGAAAAAAAATATATATATATATAGAAGCGTGGATCGTTTACGCTCGCGTTTACTCTGTAATTGATTATTTCCCCTCCCCCCCCCCTCTCTCTTCCCCTCCGGACCGCCCCGATCGTGCGATAGCTTGAGTGAGCGAAGGGCTCGCCGTAAAAACGTCAGAACTCTGCTGCTGCGTGTATATTCACGTGGGCGGAGATCGCGATCGCGGCGGTCGCACTCGCGATCCCTTTCGTCGCCTCTCCTATTTCATAATCAATAATACATAATCATATGTATAATATATCTATGTATGTATAATTATCGCGATCAATCGATCGATTGATACATGATCGGACGACAGGGCGATAAGGCTCGTGCCACGAGCCGTCTCTTTCTCTTCTTTTTCTCCGTCGCGTTCGCTTCTTTATTATCAGGCACGCGCGTACGCACAGAACAGACATTATATAGATATATATGTATACATATATATAAATATATATATATAT